ATCAGCATATCGATGTTGGGGAGATTGAGTTGCAGCCGAATGCAACTTATTTAGAGCCACCGTGTCGTATTGTCGACCGTCGGGATCAAATCCTTTTTAACAAGGTTATCCCTTTAGTTCGTGTTCAGTGGAGTCATCACAATGAGGCTGAGTCCACTTGGGAACGGGAGGATGTCATTCGCTCGCAGTTTCCTGAAATATTAGAAGAAGGTAAGAGCGAATTCCGAGGACTGAATTCCTTTTGTTAGGGGGGAAGAATGTAATACCCTTACTTTTAAAAGGATAGTCCTGATATTTAATTATTGTTTAAATTGCTTTTGTTTTCCTTTGATTTGATTTACTTATTTTAAATATTTTAAGCTGCATTTGTTTACTTATTTGTTTTAAATTATTGTAATTGTTTTAAATTTATTTGGTTACTTTTTTAGTTTACTTAAATTTAATTGAGTTAATTTGTTTAATTGTTTTGTTTAATTAATTGTTTTATTTTAGGCTTTAATTGTTTTAAGTGAAATTAAATTTAATTGGATTCGTTAAATTATATTTAATTAGTTTCAGTAGGTTGTAACGTGACTTTAGTTTGTGGGGTTTATAGTTATCATAGGCAGCCGACAGTGTACAACCTAGGTTTGTCTATGGGCCGTATTATACATGGATTAGGGTTTAAAGTTTAAGGTTATAAATAGGCTTATACGGGGGTTTAGGGTTGAAGGAAAAATAAAATACAACCGTGGGTTTTTTGTGGAGGCATAGAGGAAACAGAGAGGGAGAGAGCACACAGAGATTCACCGGAGAACTTGGGAAGAACCGTCGGTGTAAGGCAAGTTTTATATCTAACTCAATCCCTTGGGTTTCGTGTTCTTTGCATCACTAATTCAGTTCTAGGAAGTAATAACATTAAACTAATATGGTTGCACAATTAGTTGTTTCAAAACAGTATATTTCATGCCTGTGTTTTTCTTCCGTCTGTAAACTGTTTTTGTTTGTTCTTGTTTTGGGTGAGCTCAGATTAACAAAGAATGAATTTAAACAACTTTATAGCACCTTGGGGCTTAGTTTTAATCAGTAGTGGAGTTGGTTTAGAAGAACAGAGCGGTCAAATACTGCCGGAGTGGAAGGTGACGACGCATGGAAGAAGAATTGGGTCACCAAAACGCAGAGCAAGCTCCACATAAAGTGGAGCCGGCTCTAGGTTTAGGTAGAGGCTGCTCCACCATTATTTGGAGGCGGCTCCACTTTGTGTGGAGCCGGCTCCTCCCAGTTTTTCATTTTTTTTTTTTTTTTTTTTGTTTTCTGCGATCTAGGCTACTGTACATGGGTATTTGAAATTTCCAGAATGTTTTGGAAGTGGTTCTAGGGGAAATTAGTGATGTTTAAACTCTTGGTAAACTTGCAGGAAGCATGGAAATTCATAATTTATCATAAGAGGCTAAACAGGGATACAGTCTGAAACTCATTAGGGAAGTTTTCAGGATTATTTTAAATGGGGATGATCAGAATTTCTTAGCTTTGAATTAGCAGTTTTAACTTGGAATCTTTATGTTTTAAATCATGAAACAATGATATGAGATTAAACATATCAATTAATATAAATTCGGTTAATGCTTAAGGTTAAATTAGTTGACATTTTTCAACGAATTATTTAGATCAACTTATGGGATGTTGCAGAGTGGTTATTAGTAAGCATGTTAATTCTGTTCTAATTATTACTGTGCTTATTGTGGATTACAGAATGGTTACATTTATTCTCGAATATTTATATTTTTTTTGAGAATTAAGTACTGGATGTATTGAAACAAGCATGCTAATTATAGATTCTTGTTATGGCTTATATTTGGATAGGTTGATATTTATATGTGTTAATGTCAATGATATTACCAATAATTGGATGGATGGTGTATACTTGTTATGGATTGGTTGATTAGTTGATATTGAAATGGTTACTATCTTATACATTATTAACACTGGATGGATGAATTGTATGCACCGGTATGGGAAAGTGTCATACTAGGGGGATTAGCTCAAAAATGCTAAGTCTTACCTAGTCTGGATTAAGGAATGGATTAACTAAAAGTTAATCCTATTTTATTTGTAGTGTCAAGGCAACATATAGTTGAGCGGCCCTATTATGGATTTTGGAATGGAATTTATTATATATTTTATGGTGCCACGATGTGAGCCTGAGTCTCAGAGTTGTTGGTTAGGAAGCGTATATGCATGGGGATGCATAGCTGGCTACGATGGTTGGAGGTGTACCCTGTTTAGGTTAGGTACACATGCCCACTTTGTGTGCATTTTAGCATGTTACCTCTACTCAGGTTGAAACCGGCCTGTAGGCCAGTGAGAGTCCTTTAGTGTGATTATATATATATCTGCGGACTATTTAGTTATTGTTGGACTGGTTAGGATGTACATGCGTATCGGGCCTCTGTTTGGGTTGTAGTAGTATAGAACTTGCGCGTGGACCTGACTCACTTCTATTTTTCAGGTACACGACAGTTCCAGACTTAGACGTGTTCGTGCTGAGTAGATGTTTCTATTCACTCTACCGACGATGTAGTATTTTTCTTCGTACCTTACTTCTGGATGTCTTTTCAGTTATTTCTTTTATTACTATTTGGATTATTATTAGGGGTCCTCTAGAGATGGATTCCCGAGTTGTACCCTTGGAGATTTTGGAATTGGTTTATTCAAATTTTAAGTATTTAACTTTTAAGGATTGTCTTTTAGGTTTCTTTCAGCTATTAAAATTTTTAATTCTTATTTAATTTAGTAATCTGTGTTTGTTATAACATATTAATTGTTTGATATCCCTCGGGTTTGGGCCTGGGCCTGATCAACCCGTGTCTCGGATCCGAGGGGTATCACAGGCAACGAAACCTGCCGACGTGAAGGAGTTCCCGAATTCGTACGTGTTTGTGGTGGACATGCCGAGGCTGAAGTCAGGGATATCAAGGCAGGCACGGACCTGCCTGGGGACTAGGGGGGCCAATGCCCCCTCTGGAATTTTTTTTTTTTTGGTATTATATACTACAATTTTTTTAAAAGTTATACAATGCCCCTCCTAAAATTTCACAAATGCCCCCACTATATAAGTTTCCAAAAATATTATTTTATCTCCTAACTTTACTCTTTCATACTTCGGTTCTCTCAAGACTCTCGTCTCTGCCTCCTAAACGAAAATTAGGGATTCAACCTTCAAAATTCTTTATCGTGATTTGGTTCTCTCAAGACTCTCATCTCTTAAGACTGATTTCGACACCACAGTACGATCACTACGGTGAGTTTGATATACTTAATTTTGACCCTATTGTTTCGTCCTTTAACCCACAAAATTTTTTTTTTTTAGAATTATCCCAATTCCCATATATAAATGCATACACACATAAATTTATATAGAAAATAGAGAGATTACCAGTGATTTGGTTAGGTGATTTGTTTACTGTATATATTTTTTTGATTTGTTTATTGTATTTTTTTGATTTGTTTATTGTATTTTTTGATTTGGTTAAATTTTTTATTTGTTTACTGTATTATTTTTTTTTTTATTTGTTTACTGTATTTTGATTTGGTTAGAGATTACCAGTGATTTGGTTAGATACTTACATGATTTGTTTACTGTATTTTTTTTTTTGAAAGACGAGGATTGAGATTCCAAAAAGGAATATAATAAGGTTTTGTAATTAGTGATTTGGTTAGATACTAGATGATTTGTTTACTACTTTACTGTATTTTTTTTTTGAAAGACGGAGGATTGAGATTCCAAAAAGGAATATAATAAGGTTTTGTAATTTGTAAAAATTTCTCAAAAAGGGACTTTATCTATAAAAGGAAATTGTTTGTTGCCTCTAAAATTATGGTTGGATGATTGGATCAATATTTGTTTAGTTGCTTTAACTTTTAAATCAATGGAAAGTAGGACATTCTGTTCCCTTTGCAGTAGCCAGTAGCCAGTAGCCAGTAGGAACTGTAGGATGTATGTAGTACATGGAATTAACTTTCTTTTATCTTTGGGTAAAGTAGGTTCAAAATTTTGCAATAAAGTTTTATTGAAATCAAATTAAATACTGAAAAAATCTGCTAAATTTATTTATTTATTCATTTTTGTTATTTACAGCTATTTCAATTGATTGTTGGTGTATGTTGAGGCCCTTTGTACAATAACAACAATTTTGAGAAATTGGGAGTGTTTAGTGTTGCAACTTGCAAGATCAAGTTCTTTTGTACAGGTACGCCCTTTGATTAATTTTTTCTAATAGCAATGCATATGCAATTTCTAATATTTTATTTCTATTTTTTTGGTACAATGAACAACAGCACAGACGCACAATTATTTTATTATATGAAATTTCTTAATATTTAATTTTTTTTTTTTTTTTTTTTAGTGCAATGCACAATAACACAGGCGCACAATTTGTTATAATATGTAATTTCTGAATTTGTTTATTATGTTGATGGAAAATTGATCACTAAGAAACCAAACTAAATTGTCGTCACTCTTTATAGGAAATTGATCAGTAATGGACAAATTTGTGACAAGAGGGTTGCCACCATCTCTAAGAAGAGATGATGGCTCTTTAAAGATAAGTGATGTAGAGATCCACCTTGAGGATCTGGCTGCAGATCCTGGACTACAAACTCCGATATTGAATTACCATCCTAATGTCCAAGATCAAATTCGGATAACATATATACTAAAGGGTCCTTGCCAACCTAAAAAATATCATTTTCCTTATAAGAGTTATGGGCAATGCTTACGACGATTTAACCCAGCATGGTTTAATGCATTTTCTATTTGGTTAGAATATAGCATAGATAAAGATGAAGCATATTGTCTATGTTGCTATCTTTTTAAACCAAAAATTAGAGAACAATCGGGTGGTGATACCTTCGTGAGTGAAGGATTTTCTAATTGGAAGAAAGGTTTGGAAAAATTACAAAGCCACGTTGGAGGTCCGAAAAGTGCCCACAACTAATGTTCCAGTATGTGCCAAGCATTAATGAAGCAAAAGCAACACATTCAGTCAATTTTCTTCAAGCAATCGGACAAGACACGAATTGCATATCGAACACGATTGATTGCATCAATTGATTGTGTTCAACATCTTTTGCGACAAGGTCTTGCATTTCGTGGTGACGATGAATCTGAGGATTCAAGCAACCAAGGGAATTTTCTTGAGACATCGCAATTTCTTGCGAGTTATAATGAAGATATTAATGCGGTTACATTCAAAAATGCTCCTAAAAATCACAAATTAACGGCACCTAAGATCCAAAAGGACATTGTTAATGCCATTGCATTGGAGACTCTCAATGTTATTATCGAAGATATTGGCGATGTTTTTTTTTCTATTCTAATTGATGAATCTCGGGACATATCAACAAAGGAGCAAATGGCTTGTGTTTTACGATATGTGGACAAGAATGGGCATGTAGTTGAACATTTTGTGGGTCTGGTGCATGTTTCTGATACCACTTCCATCTCACTCAAGAAAGCGATTGATGCTTTATTTTCTAGACATGGGTTGAGCATTTCTAGATTACGAGGGGAAGGTTATGATGGGGCTAGTAATATGCGAGGTCAGTTCAATGGTCTCAAAGCTCTCATCTTGAAGGAGAATGAATGTGATTTTTACATTCATTGTTTTACCCATCAACTCTAATTGGCTCTCGTGGGTATGGCAAAAAAACATGAGGATATTGTTGCTCTCTTCACTTTTGTTGCTAATCTTATAAATGTAGTTAGCGGTTCATGTAAATGTTGTGATATTCTTCGAGAGAAACAAGCTTCTATAGTTATCAAGGCATTTAACAATGGGGAGATTTCAAGTGGGCAAGGCCTAAATCAAAACACTTCTCTTAAATGAGCTAGTGATACACGTTGGGGTTCACATTATGACACTTTGATTAGCGTGATTACTATGTTTTCATCTATTGTTACTGTATTTGAGACACTTGCAGAGGATGGGTCATCAGAAAAGAAGTTTAAAGTAAATCTTTTATTAGAATTTATACAATCCTTTAACTTCATATTTTTTTTGCATTTGATGAGAGCTGTTTTGGGAATTACAAATGATTTGTCAAAGGCACTTCAAAGGAAAGATCAAGATATTGTGGTTGCTATGTCCTTGGTCAAATTAAGCAAGGTCCAATTACAAAGGATGAGAGAAAGTGGATGGGATTCTTTACTTAATGAAGTTTCTTCTTTTTGTGTGAAACATGACATTCCTATTCCTAATATGGATGATACATTTCTACCTTGAGGAAGACTACGACGTAAAGCTCATGACAAGTCGAATTTGCATCATTATCGTGTTGATTTGTTTTAATCCATCATAGATATGCAACTTCAAGAGCTAACTAGTCGTTTTACTGAAATAAGTTCCGAGTTGTTGTTTTGTGTGGCTTGTGTCCGGATGATTCATTTTGTGCTTTTGAAAAGCAAAAACTAATCCACCTTGCTCAATTTTACCCAAAAGAATTCTCTCCACATACTTTCATGAGACTTAGTGATCAACTTGAGAATTATATTGCGGATATGCGCTCTAATAGCGAGTTTAAAGGATTAAAAGGGATTGGTGACCGTGCAAAAAAAATGGTGGAAGCCAAAAGAGACAAGGTACATTCACTAGTTTATTTGCCTGTGACATTAGCGTTGATTCTACCAATTGCAACTGTTAGTGTAGAGAGGGCATTTTCTGCTATGAATATCGTGAAGAACCAATTACGCAACAAGATGGGAGATGAATCGATGAGTGATAGCTTGATAGTATTTATTGAAAAGGAGATATCTAGTGGCATAGATAATGAAGTTATCATACGACGTTTTCAAAATATGAAAGTCGTTGGGGACAATTGTGAATGTGCTCAATGGAATGATTCAATGAACAAAAAAAATATTTTTGCTTATTATGATGATTTGAATTGAAAATGTGCTCAATGGGATCCTTTTGTTGTTTTTGGGATGCGTTCCCCTTTTGAACGCCTTTAATGAATTTGCTTAAATATCAAAAAAAAAAAAAAAAAAAAAAAAAAAAAATTATAAATGTGCTCAATGGAATTATCAATGAATGAAAATTTTCTTTTTGTTTATTAGGATGGTTTAATATATATATATATATATATATATATATATATGTTGCAAAGGCCGCCCCCTAACATAATTTTCTGGGTCCGTCACTGCATCAAGGTGCAGGTGGAGGAGGACAGTGTGCTATTGATAAGCGGAGAGAGAGAGAGAGAGAGAGGAAGAGAAAGAGGGAGCCAAGTACGTGAGGATCAAGAGGAGGGTTGGGAAATTCATGAGGAAGTTTGTGTTGCCTGACAATGCTAATACTGATGACATCTCTGCGGTCTGTCAGGACGGTGTGCTTACTGTTATGGTTTTATAATGTCCCGTTTGAACTGTTTCCTTGGTAATGTATGTATTGTGTTTTTAATGAATTTGGAGTTACAATATGCAATTTTCAGTTTAGGCTATGCTTTTTTTATTTTTATTTTTTATTATTATTTGGAAAATGTTGGCATTGACAATTGCAAAATGTAATAGAGGCTAGAGCTGCTCATTTTCATTTAAGTTCCAAAATTAACAAGCATCTGATGCTTAGTGAATTGATAATTGTCTGCAAACAATAATTTCAGCATAATGATATTTTATTGACCTTATACAAGATCAATTGTGCTGATGCAGCTAAAAAACTTGGCTAATTTTCTAAAATATTCAAACGAGACTTGTCTGATTAAGAACTCTGACAAATCTTGTGTGATTTTTGTTGACACCCATTTTGGTAATTGGGTTTGGGTTCCAATTGGGTTTGATGAACAGTGACATAGTGGTATGGGCTAGGAACATAAAGCCTGATGAACGATGATATGTTAAAAGTTTAGGCCGAGAGGGTATTGGGCTGAAACATGAGGTAATGGGTTTGGGCTATAAGACATTTTTAGTCTACATGGTAAACAATTAACTTGGACTTCGGTTGAAATGGTTTGATGCAGTTAGAAGAAGATTGGGTGTTACATGGGTGGCGTTTGAAAGTGTATCAGACAGAGTTGGTTTGGATAACTGGAAGAACAAATTATTTGCATAAGGATACTTATCTAGAGGATTAGTTTGATTTGAATTTTATATTTTTATTATGTGATAGAGTTGTAAAGTTATTAGGATACCGGATTGTAAGTTTATTTTACTAATAATCTCTATAAATAAATGAAAAGGCATGCTGAAATAGAGGTCCAACACCCTCAGAATCAATTTATTATTTTATTTGTTTTTTCAAGCTCTTTCCTAAAAATAGCATCCTTGCTATTTATCTCTATCCCTATGTTCTTAAGTCTCGTTCTCTCTCTTTCCCTCTAAATCTTTTCTCTCTATATTTTTTCTATATCTATTTTCCTTCATTTTCTATTCTCTTGATACTTATTATAAGTTATTCATTGAAAAACCCTTTTAACTAAGGCAATTAGAACTCATTAAGGACTATTTTTGTTCTCTCTCCTATAATCGCCTGAAAATCAATTTCTTAAAGAGACTGCAAGTTGACTATCCACAATTGAACTATGTAGTTGGTTTTGGCACGCCCTGTTTTCCATCAACTTAAGATCGGCTCCAGTTGGCCAATTTTAGCGTCAACAATTTTTGACTCTTACCCAAAAATTGGTGAGAAACGAACTCAAAACTAGGCCGAGTTCCTTATGAGTCAACCAAGTCACTACGACACCACCAATTACAAAGAACTTGATTTACATAAACAAAAACAAGTATTAATTTAATTTGCTAATCGTATTTTAGACCCCATTAAATTCATTGCATTGTCAATTTAAAACAATTGTATTCCACAAGACAAAAATGACACATGAGACAATCCCATGGACTTTGCCCTGCAAATTATTTTCCTCAAAAACATCACACACAAATATATATTGTAAGTCATTCCAAGCTGGGGTGAGCCTTCCAGGCGGTGCTATAGAAATCGTGACTCACAAAATTGTAAGTCACTGTTGCCAAAATACCCAACTATTATGAAAAGGAGAGAGTAAACAACATGATTTTATCTCAACTGGTTTCGGTGAGCTTCTCGGTCTCCATTGCTATTTTTTCCATAAACTGTACAAAAAGAAGTTCTTTGCGGCAATAGAAATTTCCCAAGGCAGGTCAATGGTACCCTTCCTATCAAACGAATTGTGTTTCCTAGCAGAAGCAGCGATATCAAGACACCCCATACTATGACTGCAACTACAATTACACCAGTGAGTGGTGGTCTTTCCCTTTTTGGTGTGACAACCACAATTGCTATAACATAAGTTACTGCCATTGCTGTCACTGTCAACCACATGATCACCATCAAAATCCACATAAAAATCTTCCGCTTGAAGGGCAATCCGCTTATAAGCAACAAGATTGTGCTCAGAGATGCAACAAAACCTATCGTATTAGCACGGAGAAAAATTGGATATGAATCTGGATAGTTATATGCCATTATAGCTTCCCCTGCTCTATGTGAGTCTGTCTGATTTGTATCAGTACTGTTGCTGACATTGTCTGGCCAAGCACCACCTGGAGGGCTCACCCCAGCTTGGAATGCCATTGTTGCGATAAGCGATGCCACCACAATTAATGAGTTCCGCTTCTTATCCAGCCATTCACCCTGATCTGTGAAAATGCTTTTTGGAGCATTCCATTTATCATTATCATGTACAAAAAAGGGCATGCCATTTGGCCTAATGGTTCGATTTTCGTTACTAGCCGCTAAAGCCGTGTCTTTGGCTCTCAAGGCTCCAGCTTCTTGAAGGTACTTTCCGATGTCAAAATCCTTCACATCTCTCTGACTTTGTTCTAAAATATCGAATGCCGTGAACCCATTTGCATTAATCGCGTTCACATCAATATTTTTGGCACACGAAAGCAAATACTTTATCATCTGCAAACATCATCAGTTCATTGTCACTTCTACAATTCCAAGAAATTTGGATTTGCCTAATTTGGTTAAATTAAACAAGGTGACGACTAAAAGTATTCGACCTAATGCCCCCAACGAGTCACTTCAACTACATAGCAAAAAAACACCATCAAGGTCTCAACAACCTTTATTATATATGTACACCATTAACAGGATTAAACAAAAGTATGCCATAAGGCATATGCTATTGTCAGGGTCATAAATTAATGAGGAAATATGATAATAATGAAATGACAATAGGTGTAGGCTACATGCACTCAATAGGAATACTAAATAATTACTTAGAAACTTAATTATTATGGCCATACCTCAATTTGTTTATCCGCGACGGCTAGATGTAATATGGTGTTGCCACGCTCGTTCTTACAATTCGCAAATTCGTGATCGTTCAAAGTCACCAGCAATAGCTTTAGTGCCTCTATTTGATCATGATGCACACACACATGCAGTATGGTTGCACCCTGATCAAATTTTGCTCGAGCAGCGTCTGGTCTGACTTGAACCAACTCTTTCAAGACACTGACTCGGCCTTTGATGGCTGCTAGATGAAGGGGGTTTCTACCATCTCGATCACGAGCAAGACACATCTCACGATTAACCAACAATAGTGCTTTTACTATCTCAACGTGCCCTTTAGCCGATGCTAAGTGAAGGGGGGACATTCGTTGAGAATTTAATTCTCCAGCAAGCTCGGGGTTTCGAGCTACAATTTCTTTCACAAATTCTACATGGCCATGCAGTGCTGCAACATGCAGAGGAGTTTCGTTAAAACAATTCAAAATAACTCTATCGAGAACAAGTCGATCTTCTTGAACTAATTCATGCAATGATGTTATGTTCCCGTCCATTGCTGCTTCATAAAGTCTTTGCTCCATTCTCTCTCTCTCTCTGAGTATATAGATACACATATAATTAAGATAAGTCCGCTAACTGCTACTCCACATATATATACTATTATAAATATATATACATGTATAATCTGAACAAACATAAATTTCTTTGTTAGATCGACTTTTATTTTATTCGGGTCAATATTTTTATGTTTTGTGGTTGTTGATCGAGTCAATATTTATAAGTGAAGAACAAGACTTAGTCCCTATTGTTAATTATTGAGCCAATCACAACGGGCGACGTGAACAAAGTTAAAAAATTGAGGCCTGCAATCTGCATGAATATATAATCCGGGGAAAGTGTTATATTCGGACCTACCTAGGGCTCAATTCTTAGAAACTTCCTATCTTCGAGAAAAGTTTATTAACAAGAGGACGGATCAGCTATATATATGTGTACGTGTATGTCTGCTTGACTACAATATATAATGGTATAAATATATATACGTTGAGTGGGGACTTCAAAGACTTTGTTGCTTTATAATTCTTTGCAGGCGGCCCATAAGAATTGCCACCCATAAGAGATATGACACCAAAGTTGTTGAGAAATTTACAGAATTCTTTGAAAAGTGGGATTGCCAAATTTTGGAGAAAATCTACTTCTTCTTTTCAAACTATCAAAAAACACTTCACCTAGACTTGGACTATGAGGCCTTGTGGCTAAACTCACGGCCCTCCAAGCTACCTCACTGCGAAGTGGGAATCCATGAACTTCCTCCTTTTCTCTCTGGCTATCTATAATTTGAGAATGTATAGGATGATACTTTACGTATCACACCATGCACAATTGAGAATTTTTATGACTTAACATTAGACCGAAATATTACGTGTAAATACCTCCGAATACTTAAGTTACTTAATTCGTATATTTAGATTACCCTTTTTTGCTCCACCCATGCTTTTGCAATTTGGAAACCCATTCATCCCAATCTCACGAATTACATTCATAAAATCTAATTAATCAAAGCACTAATTACTAAAAATCTCATTACTTTTAAATACTCTTATATTAAAAAATTAACAAAATATAATATTTAATAAATAAAAATAATAGAAATGTGCAGAAGCTCTAAGAACTTTCTCGCTCTCAAAGATTTTAGAGTTTGACTCTTGCTCTCGTCTTAAGTGACTTAACTAAATACAAGAGGTATTTTATACTTTCTTAATGAAACAAGAAAAATTAAAGTTTTTGATTGAAAACCAATGCCACTTTATTTTTTGGAGTTTGTCCTGACAACGTTATATATCTTTAAAAACCTCTCCTCTCTTTTTCGATCCATCTGTCTTAAATCAGTTGAATCCATGACGACACTCGTTATAGAGAATTATGCTCTGAAAGAGATCATCTTGAGTTGCTACCCTGCAAAAGCATTGATCTAGCCTACATTGATATCTGATTCTGACACTCATGAATCTAAACCTATAACTTAGGGAAAAAAGAAATCTTAAAATCAACATAAGCAAGTAAAAATACACGAGTTAAAAAAATAAAAATAAAAAAAGGAAAAAGCAAATGAATTTAAAACAAAAAAGAAAAATCACTATATCATATCATGTGCTATACACATGGTCATCTCTCAATTTTCCATTAATTTCATTTTATTCACAAATTTATTAATTTTTTCTGAAATAAGTGATCACTTCCGCATGTAGTTATTTCCGGGGTAGGTACTTGTTAGCCCCTTGACGTTTTAGCCCTGTGACAGTACTCCACGCCAGGTTCAACGACCGGCTCTGATAGTCGGAGGAAAATTATTTCAGAGTATATTAGAATTTTTGAATTTATTTAGGCCACTCGACTAAATTACTGTGTTGAAGTCAAAGTCAACACTTTTTAAATTTATGAACTTTGATCAAATATCTGCTAGTGAATATGAAAAAACACAGTTCATTTTTCCAAGCTACCTTTAATATCCAAATATTATTTTTGTGCATAGAGATAATAAGTACCATTATTATGTAGGTAAGTATCATTTTTGTACATAGATGCCACGATTATGCATGTAAATACTACTTTTATGTACAAATGCATCATTTTTTATGCATGTAAATATCACTCTTATGTATAAATGCATCATTTTTTTTTGTGCACAAAAATTTGACTACTTGATGTGCACAAAAATTTGATTACTTGGTGAAGACATTAAGGATAATCTGTACAAATGAACACTTATCAAATTTCATAAATTAATAAAGTGTTGCCTTTGACTGCCTCTACCTAATAAAACCTCCCAAAGTACAATATTTTTTTCTTCTATAATTTTTCCTTAATTTTAATCCAAATATCAAGTACAAAATTGAACGGCTTTCCTTGTCTAATCCAAACCGCTCACAATGACAACTAAAAAAATTTAACAGTTGAGAGGGCATTCTTTTAGAAACTTTTTAACAATTGAGAGGAATTCTTTTAAGAACATAACCCATATATTCCATTGATGAAACTGCCCATATGACAATCATTAAGATTCTTCATGATTAGAAAGCAAATGATCAATACCAATAAATATTACTGCAACTGGAAAACACCAAAAAAAAAAGGGTAGTGAGGGCACTATAAATGATCTGAGATCCGAATCAAGCAACCTTGACCTCAATGGTCTTGGGCTTCTTTGGCTGTGGAGGGGGCAGCTTGTGAACCGTAACAGTAAGCACACCGTCCTGACAAACCGCAGAGATTGCATCAGTATTAGCATTTTCAGGCAACACAAACTTCCTCATGAATTTCCCAAATCTCCTCTCCATCCTCACGTACTTGGCCCCCTCCTCTTTCTCTTCCTCTCTCTTTCTCTCTCCGCTGATCAGCAGCACATTGTCGTCCTCCACCTCCACCTTGATGTCCCCTGACTTCAGCCCCGGCATGTCCACCACGAACACGTACGAATTCGGGTACTCCTTCACGTCAGCCGGTGTTGCTGCCATTGCCTTGGCGTCGCGGACGTATGTGCGTGTCGGAGCGTTGACGGACTTGTCGGATTCGTCAGTGGCGTCGAGCATGTGTTGAAGGGCGTGGAAGATTGGGGCGTCGAAACCCGTCATTGGCCTGAATTCCATCTTTCTCTTGTGTGTGGGTGAAAATTAAATAAAACTGAAAATCACTGTATTTGATTCGAAAAGAGTTTGAAATCTGAATGTTGTGCGTTTGAGAGGATGAGGGATTTGTGGGCAATTTAATAGGTAACTGTCGGAAGGTTCTGGAAACGTAAGGAAGACATACGGACGTTTCTAGGAGTTTCTTTTTTTCATTGAATTGTGGGGCCATCTTTACATATTCCTTTGATGTTGAAAAAATTATTCAGTCCTTCCGTTGCATGACTTGAGAGTACACGGGTGTTGGGACGAATTTAGTTAAATCTTACTCTATTTTGGTAGGAAATTTATCACTCCAACTCTGCTCTTATTTTGTAACAGATTTATAATTGTTATATTATTTTCGCTCTTATTCCTATCATTCCAACTCTTCTCTTATTTTGTAACGAATTTATAATTGTTTAATTGCGGGGCACGATAGGAGCGGGCCAGATTATGCCACTTGATTACGTATTAAAAAATACTAGCCCAATATACTTAAATTAAATTGATAAATAAGTTAACCTAATGTTTAAATTATTAAGTAGTAAATATTACTATATTAACGGATACTTCCAACAAAGTAACAAGAGTTTTAAAATATAAAATATATATATATTATATATATAAAAATTAAAAGTCATATATATAATCGGGATAGGGCGAGTTCATCACTAAATTCACTCCTGCCCCAAATTTGCTTCGACTTTTCAATTATTTTATCATACACATCTCAAATTCATTTAGGACCACTAAATCCAACCCCATTAGGGGTGAGGGTGGGACGAAAATCCGTCGGATAGAAAGAAATTGTCATCCCTAATTAAATTTGTATTAGTAACGATTAATTTGATTAAATTTCTTTAAAAAGTATATGAAAAACCAAAATAAAATTACTAAGCGCCCCAATAGGGAGTGACTTCAAAAAAATAAATAAATAAATTATAACTGCAAAAAAAAAAATCTGTTCATAAAATACCCAAAAAAAAAAAGAAAAAATTTAAAGCATAACCGTGAAAATTCAGATTGGAATTCCAAAGACTACGGTCTTTAATTTTAGATTCAAAATTCGATGTTAGGATACACCTGGAAGAGTACAAAATTCATAGATGGATGGCCCCACTAAATATAGCAAGACTTCCAAGGCTCTAGTGTAAGAAATGACCAGAACCTCCTAGAATTGTCTCGCATATTCCTTACCTTCCCAGAAACTTCATATACAACACTTATAAAATCCGCAGTAGAGTCTTATCCTTCACCGAAACAATCAGAGCAAAACCAAAGTCTTTCAAATCTCTGCCACAACCCAAAAGTATTTCAGTAATTTATCTTCCAATACTAGCCCAAAAACAGAAGAAAATGGAATTCAGGCCAATGGGTTTCGACGCCCCAATCTTTCACGCCCTTCAACACATCCTGGACGCCACCGATGAAACCGACAAGTCCTCCAACGCTCCGACTCGCACATACGTCCGCGACGCCAAGGCAATGGCGACGACACCGGCCGACGTGAAGGAGTACCCAAATTCGTACGTGTTTGTGGTGGACATGCCGGGGCTGAAGTCGGGGGACATCAAGGTGCAGGTGGAGGACGACAATGTGCTGCTGATAAGTGGTGAGAGAAAGAGAGAGGAAGAGAAAGAGAAAGAGGGGGTCAACTACGTGAGGATGGAGAGGAGGGTTGGGAAATTCATGAGGAAATTTGTGTTGCCAGAAAATGCTAATACTGATGCAATCTCGGCAGTTTGTCAGGACGGCGTTCTCACTGTTACTGTTCACAAGTTGCCTCCTCCACAGCCCAAGAAACCCAAGACCATTGAGGTCAAGATTGCTTGAAATTCTCACATCTTACACCATCCCTATCTGCATATATATATATATATATATATATATATATATATATATATATATATTATAATGTCCCGTTTGAACTGTTTCCTTGGTAATGTATGTATTGTGTTTTTAATGAATTCGGAGTTACAGTATGCAATTTTCAGTTTAGGCTATGCTTTATTTATTATTATTTGGAAAAAGTTGGCATTGACAATTACAAATTGTAATAGAGCTGCTCATTTTCATTTAAGTTCCAAAATGAACAAGCATCTGAAGCTTAATGAATGAATAATTGTCTCCAAACAATAATTTGAGCATAATGATATTTATTGACCTTATACAATATCAATTGTGCTGATGCAGCTGAAAAACTTTGCTAATTTTCTAAAAAATTCAGACGAGACTGGTCTGACCAAGAACTCGACTAAAAAGTCTTCTGCGATTGATTTCCAACTCTTACCGAAAAATTGCTGAGAAACGGACTCAAAACTAGGCCGAGTCCCTTACGAGTCAACAAAGTCTCTAGGACTCGACCAATTCCAAGGAACTTGATTTACATATACAAAAAACAAGTGTCATGGACGTTTAATTTAATTTGCTAATCATATTTTAGACACCATTCAATTTACTGCATGGTCAATTTAAAACAAATGACACAGGAGACAATCCCACGGACTTGCCTTGCAAATTATTTTCCTCAAAACAATAACAATAACACACAAACTTCCCTATAAAGAAAAACATAATATCTTACAGGCAGTAATACAACATCAGTTACATCACATACACATACAGATGTATTATTCTATAATACACACACGATGCACGCGTGATAAATGGAAATTCACACAACATATACAAAGAAAGAAATCCTAAATGGCACGGTTTAGGTCAACTGAATTCGGTGAGCTTCTCGTTCGCCATTGCTATTGTTTCCACAAACCGAATTAAAACTTCTTTGTAGCCTTATAGATCTTCCAAGGCTGTTCAATGGTGCCCTTCCTAACAAACGAATTGTGTTCCCCAGCAAAAGCAATGACATCAAGACACCCCATACTACCACTGCAACTGCTGTCACGTGGGTGAGCGGTTCCCTTTCATCTTTGGGTGTGACTACCACAATTGCCATAACATAAGTTACTGCCATTGCTGTGACTGTCAACCACATGATCACCATCAAAATCCACATAAAGATCCTCCTCTTGAAGGGCAATCCGCTTATAAGCAACAAGATTGTGCTCAGAGATGCAACAAAACCTATCGTATTAGCACGAAGGAAAATTGGGTACGACTCTGGATAGTTATATGCCATTATAGCTTCCCCTGCTCTGTGTGGATTTGTATCAGTGTTATTGTCTTGCCAAGCACCACCTGGAGGGTTCACCCCAGCTTGGAAAGCCATTGTTGCAATAAGTGATGCTACCACAATTAAGATGTTCCGCTTCTTCTCCAGCCATTCGCCCTCATGTGTGAAAATGCTTTTTGGAGCATTCCCTTTATCATCATCATGTACAAACAAGGGCATACCATTAGGCCTAATGGTTCGATTTTCATTACCATCTGCTAAAGCTATGTCTTTGGCTCTCAAGGCTCCAGCTTCTTGAAGGCATTTTCCAATGTCCAAATCCTTCACATCTCTCTGACTTTGTTCTAAAATGTCTAATGCCGTTAGCCCATTTGCATTAATTGCATTTACATCCATTCTGACTCGTCTGCAAAACATCAATTAGTTGTCACTTCTACAAATTGAAGAAATTTGAATTTGTCTAATTTGGTTAAATTAAAAAAAAAAAAAAAAAAAAAAAAAAGAAGAAGAAGAAGAAGAGAGAGAGAGAGAGTATTTGACTAATGCCCCCAAAGAGTCACTTCAACTGCATAGCAGAAGTACTTTATTAAGGTCTCAACAACCTTAATTATGTACAAGATTAACATGATTAAACTATAGTATTCCATGATGTTGTCATCCGCTAATGTTTGGGTCATAAATTAATGAGGAAAAATGAAATAATCATATACAGGTGTAGGCTACACTCTAGGAATGTTAAAAATTTACACACAAACTTAATTTATGGTCATACCTCAATTTGTTTATCCGCAACTGCTAGGTGTAATATGGTGTTTCCAAGCTCACCCTTGCAATTTGCAAATTCTTGATCATTCATAGTCTCCAGCATTAGTTTTAGTGCCTCTATTTGATTATGCTGCACACAAACATGCAAGTATGGTTGCACCCTGGTTCAATGTTGCTTGCGCTGAGTTGGAACTGGCTTGAACCAACTCTTTCAATACGTTGACTCGGCCTTTCATGACAGCGAGATGGAGGGGATTTCTACCATCTCGATCACACACATGGCACATCTCAGGGTTGGCTAATAATAATGCTTTTACTATCTCAACGTGCCCTTTAGCAGATGCTAAGTGAAGAGGGGACAATTGTTGCGAATCTAACTCTCGAGCAAGATTGAAATTTCGAGCTAGAATTTCTTTCACAAAATCTACATGGCCACGCAATGCTGCAACATGCAAAGGAGTTTCTTTAAAAGAATTCAAAACAACTTTATCAAGAACAAGTCGATCTTCTTGAAGTAATCCATGCAATGAAGTAATGTTCCCTTCCATTGCTGCTTCATAAAGTCTCTGCTCCATTGATTGATACAAATATAAGCTAAGTTAGCTAACTGCTACTCCACATATATATTTATACATGTATACTATGAAAACTATTTATTTCTTTGTTGGCTTTTATTCCAATTATTTTTTATAAGTTTTGTGGTAGTTGAGTCAATATATATATTTGGGAAAAACATGTGCCCATTGTTAATGAGCCAATTACAATGAGTGACGTGAACAAAGTTAAAAAATTAAGGCCTATAACAAATCAATTACATGAATGATCTGGGGAAAGTGTATGTTCAGATCGACCTAGCAACCTCCTGGGCTCAATTATTCAAAACTACGTGGACGTCACAGAGCAGCTATTTATATATGCTTGACTTTACCATGTAATAGTATAAAAATATATATATGTTCAGAGGAGACTTTGTTGCTTTATAATTCATAATTCTTTGCAGGAAAGATAAGCCTTCAGATTCATAGTTCTTTTAAGTTACATACAATTAACATGAATGTTATTGCAAGGAAATGAATTTCTTGGAATGTTAAATCTTTTGAATTCAAAGTATAATCTGGTATATACTATTTAGTCTACAATTTCCAAAGTAAAAATATTTCTAGATGTTCCACATGACATCAGACCATTTTATACGTTTCCGTGAAATTTTAATAGCTTGATAGAATTCAATTACATGATATTAGGGCTGCAACGTTGTGTGTTCAGCTTGAATTGCCTCTGGCCGAAGCAAATGGATAGAAAAACAAGTACTGCAGAAGTTTAAAAATATTATCATCAAGAAGTCTAGACTACGTACCATCGGAAAATAAAAAATTTATACTACTTACCATGGGGTATACATTTTTATTTTTCCATGGTAAGTAAGAAATTTAGACACTTAGCTGTAAGCCAGTAGCTTTATTCGTTATAACTTAAAATAATGTTATCTTCTTAAAAGGTTTGAAAGTGCCTTATAAACTCCACCCTGAAAGGAAGTATAAGCTGCTGTCTTGTTTCAAGACATTAAATGCCTATTCTGCTTAATTTCCAAAAGAAATGAAAGCATTATTTGGATCATTCCTGAATCTCTATAACCTTTTGATTTCTTCCACATATTCCATGTTCATCACTCTAAAGATGGTTCGAGGACACAGACATGGCCGTCGATGCAAATACGGATGTAGGATCATATCAAATGTAACGTAACAGAATTACTTATTGTGATTGTGAAATTTTATCAACCTTGCATGTTATTAGTTGTGCTGACTCAGATAAATATTTAAGGACTTGACTGAGACTCGATTGACTTTCCAAGGACTCGACTGGTTTCCTACGGACTCAGCCCAGACTCATTTAATTCTCAAGTCTCACCCATATATCAGTGAACAGACTTGAACACAACCGATACAAAGAACATGATCTACATATACTCTCTCTCATCATTATTTAATTTTTTTTCACTCACATTATTCTCACAATGCTTGTGGACTTGAACCCTTCACCTTTTGATACAAAAGAAGAGAAGTTACCACTAAGTCACATACTTTAATTCTAATCATTGAATACTCTGGAGTACTTACAATGTAGCACCTTTGATAATAAGAAATAAAAACTAATTATTAGTCGGGAGTACTGCATTCTAGATACTGAAATAAAATTATTTGTGTCAATGTAAGTTCATTATGACATATATAAAACAAAAAGCTTTTATATTCATCACATCTTCCCCCTGGCAAACAAATTAAAACTTCTGTTCAATTAAAAAAAGAAAAGAAAAAGAACTAGACTCTTTTGAGCCTCCATCTTCATCTCCACATGTGCACAAGACAAAACACCATTCACACTATCTGGAAGCCAAGCCTATTTTGCTATTTTGTGCACCATGTTTGCTTGTTGAAAAACTGAATTGTAGATCCTAATCAAATATATTTCTCCTTTTCATAACTAAAGGAATCTCTCTCTACATTCTTCTTGTTCATCACCCCACAAATGTCATGCTCCAACCCCTAACTCAAGGAATTAGGAAGCCATCTCAAATTTTATAGCTGTTCTTTTCAAAATTCTTCTTTTCATTAATATTGCTCATTCTTTCATTGTCCATAACACTACATTGTGAAGAGTGTCTGTATGTGTAAGTGCATATACAAAAGAATCACTCTTGAGGAATTGTTCTAGTGACACAATCAGAAAACCTAATTTTACCAATTTTAATTACGTCTTTGTTCCAATTTTTTCTCATGGAATACCTCAACACTTGTTATGAAGTCCTAACAATATAATAGATTATATATAAATCCATAAAAATTTAAACAGCAGGCTAATTTGAGAATATCAGAACTGTAGCCTACCTAAGAAAGAAATTCAATACCTTGCATGGTGTACCACTCCACGAGACCCTCACGCAACGGGGCTACATTGATCTCTCATTCTCATTCTCATGAATCCCAACCTATGTTTCAAGAAAACAGAAAATCTTAAATCGACAGAAGCAAATGAATTTAAAACAAAATTAAAAAACATGATGCCATTTCATGTGATATAAATACACATGTTCATCTCTCAAGTTGACATAACATAAGTTACTGCCCTTGCTGAAACTGTCAGCCACATGATCGCCATCAGAATCCACATAAAAGTCCAACGCTTGAAGGGCAATCCACTTATAAGCAACAAGATTGTGCTCAGAGATGCTACAAAACCCGTCGTGCTAGCAGCAAGGAAAATCGGGTATGCATCTAGATAGTTATACACCATTATAGATCCCCCTGCTCTGGGTGGGAGCTAAATTAGGGATATTAGTTTGAGGATTCACTGTTGTATCGTTTTGCCAACAACCGGCTGGAGGGTTTACTCCAGCTTGGAAAGCCATTGTTGCAAAAAGTGATGCCACCACAATTAATTAGAAATTTGGATTTGCTTGTCTAATTTGGTTAAACATGGTAACTAAAAGTATTTTATCTAACATAATGCACCAAAAGAGTTACTTCAACTACATAGCAAAAGTACTTCATTTACTTCACAACAACCTTCATATGTTGACCTACGCTATTTTTTGGGTCATAAATTAATGAGGAAAAATGATAATAATGAAATAACCACAGGTGTAGGATACACACTAGAAATATTAAATAACTAGTCGTGCATAAACTTAATCATGGTCATACCTCAATTTGTTTATCCGTGACTGCTAGATGTAATATGGTGTTGCCATGCCCATCCTTACAATTTGCAAACTCGTGATCGTTCATAGTCTCCAACAACAGCTTTAGTGCCTCCAACTGATTATGCCGCACACACACATGCAGTATGGTTGCACCCTGGTCCAATGTTGCTCGAGCTGCATTGGATCTGGCTTGAACTAACTCTTTCAATACATTGACTCGGCCTCTCATGCAGCAAGATGGAGGGGGTTTCTACCGTCTCGATCACAAGCATGACACATTTCAGGATTGGCTAATAACAATGCTTTTACTATCTCAACATGCCCTTTAGACGATGCTAAGTGAAGAGGGGATGATCGTCGCAAATCTAACTCCCCAGCAAGCTCGGGATTTCTAGCTAGAATTTCTCTTACAAAATCCAGATGGCCACATAATGCTGCAACATGCAAATGAGTTTCCTTAAAACAATTCATAACAACTCTGTCAAGAACCAGTCGATCTTCTTGAAGTAATTCATGCAATGATGTTATGTTCCCTTCCATTGCTGCTTCATTAAGTCTCTGCTCCGTTCTCTCTCTCTCTCTCTCTCTCTCTCACACACACACACAGATAGATACAGATATAAGCACTGCAACTTATAATATATATATATATTTAGTCATAACACACGTTACACACATATTTCATTATATATTGACTTTAATTCCGATAATTTTAATGAGTTTTGTCCATTGTTATTGACACACATATATTTCTAGGCTCAATTCTTTGGAAGTCATTGCTTAATATATGTGAGCAAAACGTTGGATAAAATTGGCATTAAAGTATATTCTGAATGACAACCCTAATCTTCAATGACATCTGTTCTACTAATCTTAAAGAATTGTTCTAGTGACTCACTCATAAGGTCTAATTTTACCAATTTTAATTACAGCTTTGTTACAATTTTTTCTCATAAAATACATCAACCCTTGTTACAAAGTCCTAACAGTACAATAGATTATATATAAATCCATAAAAAATTACAAGCCAGCCTAATTTGAGAATGTCATGACTGTAGCTAAGAGAGAAATTCAATACCTTGCACAGTGTATCACTCCACGAGACCCTCACACAATGACGCCACATTGATCTCTCATTCTCATTCTCAACCTATGTTCCAGGAAAACAGAAAAATCTTAAAACAACAAAAGCAAATGGATTTAAAATAAAATGAAAAACCATGATATCATTTCATGTGATGTATAAATATGATTATCTCTCAAGTTTCCATTAATTGCATTATATTCAGAGATTCATTAAAAAAATTTACTTTAAAAGTAATTTCCAACAACAAACTTGCATATTCTACTGTCATTGATGAAATGGAATCACATTTTCAGTTCTATTATAACTGTCATTTCTGAGTTCTTACTTTGTCCGAAAATCATAAATAAAAAGCTAAATAAGAAGAAACCACTTCTTGAGCATATACAGGGTAAAAAGCCAAAATAAAATAAAATAATTCACAATTGAAAAGAATTCCTTTAGATGGATAACCCATATATTCCATTGATGAAATTGATAATATAACAAGCATCAAACTTCCTCATGATCAGAAAGCAAATGATCCAGAGCCAGAAAACAAAATTACAAGAAATACACCCAATTCATACCTAGAATAACCAATAATTATTACTAGTAGTACTGATGAAATACCAAAGCAGAACACTAATATGAGATAATGATTCAAGCAATCTTGACCTCAATGGTCTTGGGTTTCTTGGGCTGTGGAGGAGGCAACTTCTGAACCGTAACAGTAAGCACACCGTCCTGACAAACCGCGGAGATGGCCTCAGTATTTGCATTTTCAGGCAACACAAACTTCCTCATGAATTTCCCAACCCTCCTCTCCATTCTCACGTATTTGGCTCCCTCTTTCTCTTCCTCTCTCTTTCTCTCTCCGCTTATCAACAGCACATTGTCGTCCTCCACCTGCACCTTGATATCCCCTGACTTCAGCCCCGGCATGTCCACCACGAACACGTACGAATTTGGGTACTCCTTCACGTCGGCCGGTGTCGCCGCCATGGCCTTGGCGTCTCGAACGTATGTGCGCGTCGGAGCGTTGAAGGACTTGTCTGCTTCGTCTGTGGCGTCGAGAATGTGCTGAAGGGTATGGAAGATCGGGGCGTCGAAACCCGTCATTGGCCTGAAATCCATTTTTCTCTGGTGATGAATTGGGTTTTGTCTCTGGAAATTTTGAAAGAGAAAATCACTGTATTTGATTTAAGAATTTGTTTGAAATCTGAATGTTGTGCGTTTGAAGAGAGGAAGAGGATGCTGTGGGCAATTAATAGGTAGGTGTGTGAAGTTTCTGGAAAGGTAAGGAAGACATGGGGACGTTTCTAGGAGCTTCTCCTTTTGCCATTTTTCACTTCCCGAGTTGTGGGGCCGACTTTACATATTCTCTGGCCTTCCGTTGCTTGACTTGACTATAATTGGTGAAGCTTGTAGTAAAGTTTTTAAATTTCAAAAATAAATTAAAATAATCGGAAATAACCTTTTTTTAAAAAATAAAAAAAAAAAGACTTCAAAATAAAATTAAAAAATTCACAATTTTTTTCCCCATAAAATATCTACCAAAATTCAAAAATATATATACATGCAAATTTAGAAATATAACTACGAAAATTCAAATGAGGGTTGAGAAGACTATAAATACAATTTTAGAATCGAAAAAATAAATTAGAAAGAGAGAAGTACAAAAAAGAATTCATATTTCAAAAGAGAAATTGTCAGAAAAAATAAAAATAAAAAAAGACAGAGGTAGAGAAGTAAATTAAAAATTAAAAAAAAAAAGTTAATTCAAAAAAGAAATTGTTAAAATAAAAAAAAAATGAGACAGAGGAAGAGAAGCAAATAAAAATCGAAGAAAAGTTTATACTTCTCTATAAGAGAATATTTTATTCACTTTAACTCTTATTTATTATTATTGTTTTTTATTTTTACTAAGGAGACAATATGGCTATACAACATAAAATTGGAAATGAAATTCATTCATTTTTGTTGCATTTAATATCATTTTTTAATAAATATTAAATATTATTTCTCTAAAAAAATATCAGAAGATTTATTTATTTATTTTTAACAAATAAACTAAGAACACAAACCGGTCCAAACATATAAAATTTCATAGATGGATGCCCCCACTAACATACCAAGTTCCAACGGACTTTAGTGGGAGAAATTACCTGAACCTCCTAGAAGTGTCTCACGTATTCCCAACCTTTCCAGAAACTTCACATACCCCCACCTATAAATTACCCACGACATTCTCATCCCTTCAACATATCGATTCAACAAAACAATCCTAGCAAAATCAAAAGTTTTTGAATCTCTCTCACAACCCAAAACCATTTCAGTAATTTATCTTCCCCAAACAAAGCAGAAAATGGAATTCAGGCCAGTGGGTTTCGACGCCCCAATCTTCCACGCCCTTCAACACATCCTAGACGCCACCGATGAAGCCGACAAGTCCTCCAACACTCCGACTCGCACATACGTCCGCGACGCCAAGGCAATGGCGACAACACCGGCCGACGTGAAGGAGTACCCGAATTCGTTCGTGTTCGTGGTGGACATGCCGGGGCTGAAGTCAGGGGACATCAAGGTGCAGGTGGAGGACGACAATCTGCTGCTGATAAGTGGAGAGAGAAAGAGAGAGGAAGAGGAAGAGGGAGCCAAGTACGTGAGAATGGAGAGGAGGGTTGGGAAATTCATGAGGAAGTTTGTGTTGCCTGAAAATGCAAATACTGATGCCATCTCCGCGGTTTGTCAGGACGGTGTGCTTACTGTTACGGTTCAAAAGTTGCCTCCTCCGGAGCCCAAGAAGCCCAAGACCATTGAGGTCAAGATTGCTTGAATTAAGATGGCACATCATTCCTATTGGTTTATGATTTTATAATGTCCTGTTTTATAGTCTTTCTTAGCTATTTATAATTGTATGTATGAGTTGGGTGTTTTTGTTTGTGAGGTGTGTTTTAGGTTTGCTTTCTGATGTGGGGGTTTAAATATTTTATATAAATCAATGGGATATATTGTCTTTTAAAGTGAATCTGTCTCAGCTTCGTGAATTTTTCCTTTAATGAATTTTGAGTATGATATACAATTTCCATTTTAGGGGTGTGCTGTTCTTAATATTTGGATGATGTTCAATTGAAATTGAAATAGCCAATAACTGGATTTGGAATATGATTTAATATCAGAGAAATTCAGAGTGGTTTTTGCATCAAATTTGTCTATGTTACTGGGTAATTTTACCTCAATGGAATAAATTAATTGCTCGTGTATTTATTTTTGGAACACAAAATTTAAATCCTACATTCCATCTCTCCATCTCAATATTAAAAAATAAAATAAAAAATCCCCAACTATTTGTTGTAAACCACATAATCATGATTATGTCGTATCTATATAAAATCATAGGACTTTTTCTACATCTTTCTTTGCAATATTTACCTCCGTCAATAAAAATTAGGAATAATTATACTCGCAAGCCAAAAGTGGAAAAATTAGGAATAATTATTTTTGGACTCGGCGGGTTAGCTCGAGATAGTCCCACTCCTATTTAACATGGGGCTTTTGCTGCAGATGAAATGGAAAATTGCTCATACAATTTTTTGTAGGCTTAAATCTCTCTTTGCACTTTGGGTCAATTGAAAAACCTAAAGTTCTTGCATTTGGCGTCAATCAACTCTCTGGTACAATCCATCCTTCCATTTGTAATCTTTCTTTTCTAAATGTTCTCTCTTTGCCTTCTAACCAACTTGATGGCACTCTTTCACCAAACTTGGGTCTGATGCTCCCTAATATTCGACTTCTCCAATTATGGGGGAACAAATTTACTTGACCCTACTGTCTCCATACCCAATTGTAGAAAACTAGAAGAAATTGATATTGGAGAGAGTAATTTCAATGGGAAACTAAGAATTAATTTTGGAGGCTTTCAAAATCTTGGTAGAATTACTCTCTCAAAATAATTTGGGAAGTAGTGAACCAGATGAAATGAACTTCATTCATTCTATGGCCAACTGTAGCCTTTGGAGATATTAGATCGGGCTGCTAACCAATTCAAAGAGTTCAACTTTAGATCTTCAAAATAATCGATTCAAGGGCACAATTCCTGCTGCTATAGGAAATCTTCAAATATTACAACGGGTAATTCTTGGAGGAAATACATTCTATGGAAAAATTGCAGAATTTATAGAAAACTTATCAGTGGTGATATAACTTCAGTTAGATGTTAGGAAGCACGAACACGCCTAAAATGATGAAGAATCAGTATCCGATTGTCGACGTGCCAAATTTACACTTCACTGAAAATAGTATATGCTATTTGTGTGCATTATAAATAGTATTTCTGTATTTTCCATTCAATTTTTGTCACCAAGGTATAATACCCTGGTAATTTGCATTCCTTCATCAGTTAGAAAACTTAAACAAATTTACATTTTGCACCAAAAAAAAAAATTTAATAATAATAATAATAATAAAATCCTACCAAACCTTGGCTTATATAAGGTTAATGGAACATACAACCAGACCTTAATCAGTTTGTAAAGTTATTGGAAATTAACAGCTTTGGTACTTCTAAAAAGGTGCATCATGAAGAATGTTTAATAGTTTTGGTATTTCTAAAAAAGTGCATCATGAAGAATGTTTAGTGGATCCAACCATGTGCTCGCCCCTATCCCTGCCTTTTGTACAAAAAAAAAAAAAAAAAAAAAAACACTGGCACCCAACAATCCAAAGTCGTGCTCTAAGCACTACACAAATGCAACAAGAAAATCAAAATGACTACACATAAATAGCTCAATCCACGAGCTAAAAGACCAAGTCATTCGTCCGATAAGAACTGGCACCTAACAATCCTAGAGCAACTGAGCTCCTCGTCCACTCAGGTCATAACTTACACAACCATCCCATGCGCGATCGCATATTCACATGGATATATATACTTATAATAATCATAATCCACACCATGATACAACCATGCTCCTAACTTGTCGCATTACCATAAAAATGAACTGTTCACTCCATGCCTCCAATTGCCGCTATTATACTCCTTGTACACATCATCATATCAAGATCAGCATACTTTCAATCATTATCATGGTAACAATATGCATTACTTTAAACACATAGGCATGTGATCACATAAGTAAATAAGCGAGTAGACAAGTAAGCATGCTTTTCGAACAATTGAACACCTTAACACATAAGCACATAGTCATGCAATTCAACTTCCCTATGCAATCCTAGGTAGGCCTCTGCCCGTCGTCCTAATGGTATTTGAACCATCACTTTGATACTTAGTTTGTAATGACCCGAACCCGTGGGTTCGAACCGTTAACCGGGTTCTTATCCGAACCCGAGGTCAACTAAGGGTACAATCATCATTACCTGTGCTCTTAGATAGTATTCGATTCATTACAAGACCCAAGGTACACCAAATAAAACTTAGAAGTAGAGGGTCAAAGCACTGGTCAAAGGGGCAAGGACAGCCGGCTGGTGGCCCTTCATCGGCCAGCTGAAACTACATGTTCGGTCGGCTGATGGAAATGATCAGCCGGCAGAAACGATTGGTAAAAATGCAAACTCTCGGGATTTTCTTAAAGTGCACTGTCGGCCGGCTGGAGATGGGGTGTCAGCCGACTGATGATGGAGTTTTGGTCAACCGATGGTAAAGTTCGGACAGCCGAAACAAGGTTTTCTACAACCCAACTCTCTGGAATACCAAAATGTGCACTGTTAGTCGGCTGATGGTCCTTGTCAGACTACCGACAGGCCCTGAAATGCTGTTATTTGCAGCTAAAAACATAAAAAATGCTGAGCTCATTGGGGACCAACTTGATAAACAATATAATTCTGAATTCACGGCAAATACTACACCACATCCCATGACTAAAATCATCAATAATTTGTCACAAAATATACCATCATAACCCATTCATTGCAAGTTGCTTACTTAGCTCCACTTTACAAGAAATACTATCATATGGTTATAGTTACATCACAGAGTGAATACATTGCAGGGTAAGGTTTTACAAAAGAATGGGTTTTCAAGATACAAAAGTTAGGAAAATGAAATTATATCTCCCTTCAAGCTTGTGGTGGGTTGTCATCCGCCACTTCTTTTCCCGAGCCCTGAAAAATGTCTATAATGAAAGGGGTGAGCACAATGGCTAACCAAGAGGTGTCTAAGACACACCTCTTGTGACCCTGTGAATCCAAATAATGAATAGGAAATAAGGAGAATGGGATCATGCCGTGTCGGGGAAAAACTTAACAACAAGGTTAACAATCACAATCAAAATCGTAATGAACTATGCCATGCAATGGGATGCAATGCCATGCAATGTCGCTCCACATTTCTAAAACATTTCCGTCCTCGTTTCCAAACCGTTAGTGAAATCCGTCTCATGGCAACTCCATGCGCGGCACGAGAGAATGATTGGCTAACTGTCCCGACCCATGGCAACTCCATGGTGTCATTTAGGGTCCAAGTAACTCAACCACACTAGGGCAGTTTCCCTAGACCCCTCTAGGTCGCACTAACGCTGCGCACCCTATGCAACTCCTAGGCGACCGGGATTTCATAAAAACCTCTTTCAAAACCTTTTTGCCCAGAACAATTTCATTGGCTTTTTAAAAAAACTTTTTCCCATTCCATTCCCAATGAAAATGCATAAATGCACCATGCAACTTAAATATCATAATTCTCCATATATTTGAATTTTAACCATAAAACACATTTGAGAGAAACTATGTAACACACATATCATGCTTTTTGCCACATGTACGGCAACTCAAATTACACAAGGCATGTAATATAATGATATACAGCATGTTTCCTCATAAAATAGCGACTAACACATAATCACATATCACATGTACAATAATTTAGTCAATTTTGCAAGAATCAAGACAAATTAGGAATGCTTTACAACAATTTATAAAAAATTGACTCACAAAAATCAAAGAAATTGTGGATTAGAGACCCCTACTTCTTAATTGAAGAAAGTCCCAACAATTACCCAAATCCAAGCCCTAATTTTGAAATTCCAAGGTTGGCCAAACAGGACTTGGCTCCGATCAAATCAAAGATCTCGATGAGCCCTTCGACTTGCCACAAACAGCACAAACAAACTCCCAACGGTCGGAGAGAAATCAAAGCTTGAAGCTTTGAAGCAAAAGGGGGAAAAAAAAAAAAAAAGGGAGGGAGAGAGAGATTTACGTAGAGAGAGAGAAAGATTGAAGCCAAAAATAAAAAAAATAAAAAAAAATAAAAAAGAATGGTGGGTCCTACCATCAAGAAAAAAAAAATCCCACCTTTTTTTCTTTTATATATATATATATATATATATAATTAAATTTCCAACAACACATTTTCAAGTTACAATAATATAATTATGTACAAAACAATTATGCATGAAATGCAATGGACCCATGACACCACTCCTGTAAGACCCCTAATTTTAAAAGGATAGTCCTGGCATTTATTTAATTGTTTAATCTTTTATTTAATTGTTTAATTGCGTGTTATTCTATTAATTGGTTATTTTAATTGTGTGTTTCTCCTATGGTTATTTAAATTTGATTTTGTTTTAATTAATTGATTAAATTGTCTTGTTTTCTTTTATTAAATTGTTTTAAATTAATTTATTTTATGACGTTTTATTTGACTTAATTGATAATTGGTTTTATTTAATTGAATTGGTTTAAATTAGGATTGTGTTTTCTGTATATTCACGTATTAGTCGACATAGGTTATAACTTAGGTTATTCTTGGGCCGACTAAGTGTTGCATTAGGGCTCAAATTATACAAGGATTAGGGTTGAATTACTACGCCTATATATATGACCTTATGTGGGTTTAGAGTTTGAGAAAAAATACATAAAACTCTATTCTGGTATACAATGATACAAAGAGTTGTGAGAGCAGAGAAACAGAGAGGGAACTTGAGTATTATACAGAGAGGTTCAAGGAAGGTTAGACGGGGTGTTTTTTGGGTTGAACCAAGAGCGTCGGAGGAGTAGGACAGTAGTCGACGACATAGACGGACAATTCAGAGACGGAGGTTTAGAGTTTCAAAGTCTGAAACTCAAAGCAAGTCTCT